ATGGGGTCAAATTCCAGGAGCCACTTGTTCAAGTCCCTTTGTAGTCCTGTCTGATCCTCATCTGATTTAATTCACCTAATTAGCTTCACATCGACTGCGAACAGGGACACTTCTTAATCCTCTCCGTCATGTCATTCACGTATACCAGAAACAGCATCGATCATATGACTGACCTCTGTGGAAGCCTACTCGTCACAGGCGCCAACTCTGACACCTCGTCACATACCATCACTCGTTATTGCCTTCCTGTCAAGTATTCTCTGATCCATTGCAGTGCATTTCCTGTTATACCTGCCTGATCCTTTAGCTTTTGCACTAATCTCTTTTGTGGAAATGTGTCGAAAGCCTTCTTACAGTCCAAAAAAAATGCAATCTACCCACCCTTCTCTCTCTCTCTCTCTCTCTCTCTCTCTCTCTCTCTCTCTCGTCTTAATTCTGCCACTTTGTCATAGAACTCCAGTAGGTTTGTGACACAGGATTTCCCTTCCCTGGAACCATACTGGTTGTCGTGTACGAGCTCATTGCTTTCTAGGTGTTTCGCCACCCTTCTCCTGATAATTTTCTCTGTGACTTTGCATACTATACATGTCAGTGACACTGTAATCTAATGCTGAGATGTTCGGTCCCACTGCCTGTGAGGTATCTAGTTCACTCAGCAGCCTCTTCACTCCCTCCTCAGTTGTGTGTATTGTGTCCAGCACATGTCGGTGTACCCTGCCATTCCGGCTTTCTGGAGCCCTTTCTGTCTCCACTGAAAACACTTCCTTAAGTCTCCTGATGAGTTCTTTGCATATTTCTCGGTCATTTCTTGTGAACTCACCTCCGTCCTTTCTTCCTCAGCCTGATTATCTGGTCCTTGACTGTAGTTTTCTTCCTGATGTGGCTGTACAACAGCCTCGGGTCAGACTTGGCTTTCGATGCTATGTCATTTTCATGTTGCCGCTGGGCCTCCCTCCTTACTTGTGCATATTCGTTTCTGGCTCTTCTACTAATCTCCTTATTTCCCTGGGTCCTTTTTCATCTATACTTTTTCCATTCTCTAGTTTTGGCCTCTCTACACCTCTGCGTGAACCAAGGGCTCATTCTGGTCTTCCCATTATTTCTGTTGCCCTTAGGTATGAACCTCTCCTCTGCATCCCTGCATTTCATTGTCATGTATTTCATCATTTCATCTACTGATTTTCCTACCAGTTCTCTTTCCAACAGAACCTCATGCAGGAAGTTCCTCACTCCTCTGTAGTCCCCTTTTTTGTAGTTTTTCTCCCATCCCATTCTTCCTGCTTCCCTCTCCACTAGTAACTTTACTATGTAATCGAAACTCAGGACCATGTGATCACTGGCTCTATGAGGCCTTTCATATGCGATGTCCTCAATGTCTGAACTACTTAAGGTGAATGAGTTCCAGTCTTGCTGGTTCATCCTCTTCTCTCTCTCTCTCTCTCTCTCTCTCTCTGGTAGTGTCTGTAACGTGTTGATGCATGAGGTTTTCCAGTACCACCCCCATCATCTTAGCCCTTCGCGTTTCTTCCCCCCCCCCCATGTGGTTCCAGGTTTCTCCACTCCGTTTCCTTTTGATTCAAGTCACCCACATCTAGTAACTTTGCCCTGTCTATGTGCGTCTTTCTTCCCACCTCAGCTAGTGTATCAACCATTGCTCTGTTGCTCTCATCATATTCTTGTCTTGGCCTCCTGCTATGGGGTTATATATCACTGCAATTACCACCTTGGGATTCCTTGTCTGAAATTTTCCTACTATGTAGTCCCTCACTTCCCGTCTGTTCCCTCCTTCCTACTCCTCAAACCTCCATTGGCTTTTGATGAGCGGTGTAACTCTTCCACCCAGTCTATTCCCTTTATCTTTTCTCAGGACCTGATATCAACTTGGAAAGTTGGCATCTGTTATCATTCCTGTGAGCTTGGTTTCCGTGAGTGCTAAGATATCTGGTAATGCTTCCGTGATTCTTACATGCCACTCCTCACACTTGCTGGTTATTCCATCTGCATTGGTGTACCATACCTTCAACTTCTTTTCCAACACTGTAGTGTGTGTGTGTGTGTGTGTGTGTGGTGTGTGTGGTGTGTGTGTGTGTGTGTGTGTGTGTGTGTGTGTGTGTGTGTGTTCACACCTAATTGTACTCATCTAATTGTGGTTGCAGGGGTCGAGACTCAGCTCCTGGCCCCGCCTCTTCACCGATCGCTATTAGGTCCTCTCTCTGCTCCTTGAGCTTTGTCATACCTCGTATGGCTCCTGCCTCCACTACATCACTTGCGTGTGTATGTGTGTGTGTACTCACCTGTTTGTTGTTGCAGAGGTCGATTCATAGCTCCTGGCCCCGCCTCTTCACTGATTGCTACTAGGTCCTCTCTCTCCCTGCTCCATGAGCTTTATCAAACCTCGCCTTAAAATTACTATGTATGGTTCCCGCCTCCACTAAGTCACTTTCTAGGCTATTCCACGGCCTGACTACTCTGTGACTGAAGAAATACTTCCTAACATCCCTTTGATTCATCTGAGTCTTCAACTTCCAAATGTGACCTCTTGTTTCTGTGTCCCACCTCTCGAACATTCCGTCTTTGTCCACCTTGTCTATTCCGCACAGTATTTTATATGTCGTTATCATGTCTCCCCTGACACTCCTGTCCTCCAGTGTCGTCAGGCCGATTTCCCTCAACCTTTCTTCGTAGGACAATCCCCTTAGCTCTAGGACTAGTCTTGTTCCAAACCTTTGTACTTCCTCTAATTTGTTGACGTGCTTGACCAGGTGTGGGTTCCAAACTGGTGCTGCAAACTCCAGTATGGGCCTGACGTAAATGGTATACAGTGTCTTGAACGATTCCTTACTGAGGTATCGGAACGCTATCCGTAGGTTTGCCAGACGCCCGTATGCTGCAGCAGTTATCTGACTGATGTGTGCCTCAAGAGATATGCTCGGTGTTATACTCACCCCCAGATCTTTTTCCTTGAGTGAGGTTTGCAGTCTTTGGCCATCTAGACTATATTGTGTCTGTGGTCTTTTTTGCCCTTCCCCAATCTTCATGACTTTGCATTTGGCAGGGTTAAACTCAAGGAGCCAGTTGCTAGACCAGGCTTGTAGCCTGTCCATGTCTCTTTGTAGTCCTGCCTGATCCTCGTCCGATTTGATTCTTCTCATTAACTTCACATCATCTGCAAACAAGGACACTTCTGAGTCTATCCCTTCCGTTATGTCATTCACATATAACAAAAACAGCACAGGTCCTAGGACTGACTCCTGTGGAACCCTGCTTGTCACAGACGCCCACTCTGACACCTCGTCACGTACCATGACTCGTTGTTGCCTCCCTGTCAGGTATTCTCTGATCCATTGTAGTGCCTTTCCTGTTATGTGTGCCTGATCCTCTAGCTTTTGCAGTAACCTCTTGTGAGGAACTATGTCGAAGGCCTTCTTGCAGTCCAAAAAAAATGCAGTCGATCCACCCCGCTCTCTCTTGTCTTACTTCTGTCACCTTGTCATAAAACTCCAGTAGGTTTGTGACACAGGATTTTCCTTCCCTGAAACCGTGCTGGTTGTCAATTATACACTAGTTTCTTTCCAGGTACTCCACCACTCTCCTCCTGATGATCTCCATGACTTTGCATACTATACACCTTGGTAATACAGGTCTGTAGTTTAATGCCTCATGTCTGTCTCCTTTTTTAAAAATTGGGACTACATTTGCCATCTTCCATACCTCAGGGAGTTGCCCAGTTTCAATGGATGTGTTGAAGATCTTTGTTAATGGCACACACAGCATCTCTGCTCCCACTCTAAGGAACCATGGAGAGATGTTGTGTCAAGTTCACATAGCAGCTTCTTCACCTCCTCCTTGGTTATGTGTACCTCATCCAGCACTTGTTGGTGTACCCCTCTGTTCTGATTTCCTGGAGTCCTACTGGTTTCCACTGTAAATACTTCTTTAAATCTCGTGTTGAACTCCTCACATACCTCTCGGTCGTTTCTTGTGAACTCCCCATCACCCTTCCTCAGTCTGATTACCTGGTCCTTGACTGTTGTTTTCCTCCTGATGTGGCTATACAACAGCTTCGGGTCAGACTTGACTTTCGATGCTATGTCATTTTCATATTGTCTCTGAGCCTCCCTTCTTATCTGTGCATATTTGTTTCTGGCTCTTTGGCTAATCTCTTTACTTTCCTGAGTTCTCTGTCTTCTGTACATTTTCCATTCTCTAGTACACCTAGTTTTTGCCTCCCTACACCTTTGGGTGAACCAAGGACTCGTTATGTTCTTCCCATTATTTCTGTTTCCCTTGGGAACAAACCTTTCCTCTGCCTCCTTGCATTTTGTTGCTACATAGTCCATCATTTCTTGTACTGGTTTTCCTGTCAGTTCCCTCTCCCACTGAATGTCTTGCAGGAAGTTCCTCATGCCTGAGTAGTTCCCTCTTTTGTAGTTTGGTTTTTCCCATCCTATTCCTGTTACTCTCTCCACTTGGAGCTCAACTATGTGGTCAAAGCACAGAACCACGTGATCACTTGCTCCTAGGGGCCTTTCATACATGATATCCTCGATGTCCGAACTACTCAAGGTGAACACAATGTCCAGTCTTGCTGGATCATCCTCACCTCTCTCTCTGGTGGTGTCTCTAACATGTTGATGCATGAGGTTTTCCAGTACCACATCCATCATGTCTCTTCATGTTTCGGGACCCCCATGGGACTCCAGGTTTTCCCAGTCAATCTCCTTGTGATTGAAATCACCCATAACTAGTAACTTTGCTCCCCCCATGTGTGCTCTTCTGGCCACCTCGGCTAGTGTGTAGACCATTGCTCTGTTGCTCTCATCGTATTCTTCTCTTGGCCTCCTGCAGTTCTGTGGTGGGTTGTACATTACTGCAATTATCATCTTATGTCCCTCAGACTGGTTTGTTCCTACTAAGTAGTCCCTTTTGTGTGTTTGAGTTTGTGTGTGAATATTTGTATGTTGTATCAGGGTCACTAACTCATGTCTTTCTCTCCTTAGGTCTAACCAGGAAGAATTCCTTACGAAGTTCCAGTTATTTACTGGGTCACCACCATCTGGTCTACACTCCAGGTTAGTGTTGTCTACACTCTAGGTTAGTGTTATCCGCACTCCCGGTTAGTGTTGTCTACACTCCAGGGTTTAGTGTTGTCTACACTCCAGGTTAGTGTTATCCGCACTCCCGGTTAGTGTTGTCTACACTCCAGGTTAGTGTTGTCTACACTCCAGGTTAGTGTTATCCGCACTCCCGGTTAGTGTTGTCTACACTCCAGGTTAGTGTTGTCTACACTCCAGGTTAGTGTTATCCGCACTCCCGGTTTTGTGTTGTCTACACTCCAGGTTAGTGTTGTCTACACTCCAGGTTAGTGTTATCCGCACTCCCCGGTAGTGTTGTCTACACTCCAGGTTAGTGTTGTCTACACTCCAGGTTAGTGTTGTCTACACTCCAGGTTAGTGTTGTCTACACTCCAGGTTAGTGTTGTCCACACTCCAGGTTAGTGTTGTCCACACTCCCGGTTAGTGTTGTCTACACTCCCGGTTAGTGTTGTCTACACTCCAGGTTAGTGTTGTCTACACTCCAGGTTAGTGTTATCCACACTCCCGGTTAGTGTTGTCTACACTCCAGGTTAGTGTTGTCTACACTCCAGGTTAGTGTTATCCGCACTCCCGGTTAGTGTTGTCTACACTCCAGGTTAGTGTTGTCTACACTCCAGGTTAGTGTTGTCTACACTCCAGGTTAGTGTTGTCTACACTCCAGGTTAGTGTTGTCTACACTCCAGGTTAGTTTTGTCTACACTCCAGGTTAGTGTTGTCTACACTCCAGGTTAGTTTTGTCTACACTCCAGGTTAGTGTTATCCACACTCCAGGTTAGTGTTGTCTACACTCCAGGTTAGTTTTGTCTACACTCCAGGTTAGTGTTAACCACACTCCAGGTTAGTGTTGTCTACACTCCAGGTTAGTGTTGTCCACACTCCAGGTTAGTGTTGTCCACACTCCAGGTTAGTGTTGTCCACACTCCAGGTTAGTGTTGTCCACACTCCAGGTTAGTGTTATCCACACTCCAGGTTAGTGTTGTCCACACTCCAGGTTAGTGTTGTCTACACTCCAGGTTAGTGTTATCTGCACTCCAGGTTAGTGTTGTCTACACTCCAGGTTAGTGTTATCCACACTCCAGGTTAGTGTTATCCACACTCCAGGTTAGTGTTATCCACACTCCAGGTTAGTGTTATCCACACTCCAGGTTAGTGTTGTCCACACTCCAGGTTAGTGTTGTCCACACTCCAGGTTAGTGTTATCCACACTCCAGGTTACTGTTGTCCACACTCCAGGTTAGTGTTGTCCACACTCCAGGTTAGTGTTGTCCACACTCCAGGTTAGTGTTGTCCACACTCCAGGTTAGTGTTGTCCACACTCCAGGTTAGTGTTATCCACACTCCAGGTTAGTGTTGTCCACACTCCAGGTTAGTGTTGTCCACACTCCAGGTTAGTGTTATCCACACACCAGGTTAGTGTTGTCCACACTCCAGGTTAGTGTTGTCCACACTCCAGGTTAGTGTTATCCACATTCCAGGTTAGTGTTGTCTACACTCCAGGTTAGTGTTGTCTACACTCCAGGTTAGTGTTGTCTACACTCCAGGTTAGTGTTGTCTACACTCCAGGTTAGTGTTGTCTACACTCCAGGTTAGTGTTGTCTACACTCCAGGTTAGTGTTGTCTACACTCCAGGTTAGTGTTGTCTCACTCTAGGTTAGTGTTGTCTACACTCTAGGTTAGTGTTGTCTACACTCCAGGTTAGTGTTGTCTACACTCCAGGTTAGTGTTGTCTACACTCCAGGTTAGTGTTGTCTACACTCCAGGTTAGTGTTGTCTACACTCCAGGTTAGTGTTGTCTACACTCCAGGTTAGTGTTGTCTACACTCCAGGTTAGTGTTGTCTACACTCCAGGTTAGTGTTGTCTACACTCTAGGTTAGTGTTGTCTACACTCCAGGTTAGTGTTGTCTACACTCCAGGTTAGTGTTGTCTACACACCAGGTTAGTGTTGTCTACACTCCAGGTTAGTGTTGTCTACACTCCAGGTTAGTGTTGTCTACACTCCAGGTTAGTGTTGTCTACACTCCAGGTTAGTGTTGCTACACTCCAGGTTAGTGTTGTCTACACTCCAGGTTAGTGTTGTCTACACTCCAGGTTTAGTGTTGTCTACACTCCAGGTTTAGTGTTGTCTACACTCAGGTTAGTTTTGTTACACTCCAGGTTAGTGTTGTCCACACTCCAGGTTAGTGTTGTCTACACTCATGGTTAGTGTTGTCTACACTCCAGGTTAGTGTTGTCTACACTCCAGGTTAGTGTTGTCTACACTCCAGGTTAGTGTTGTCCACACCCAGGTTAGTGTTGTCTACACTCCAGGTTAGTGTGTCCAAACTCCAGGTTAGTGTTGTCCACACTCCAGGTTAGTGTTATCCACTCCAGGTTAGTACGCCTAGTTACTGTCCACACTCCAGGTATGTGTTGTACCAACTCAGGTTAGTGTTATCCACACTCAAGGTTAGTGTTGTCAAACAGGTTAGTGTTGTACACACTCCGGGTAGTGTTATCCATACTCAGGTTAGTGTTGTCACACTCCAGGCTTAGGTAGTTGTGTACCAACCAGGTTGTGTTATCCAACTCAGGTTAGTGTTGTAAACCTCCGGGTTAGTGTTTCACACTCAGGTTAGTGTTTCGCACCAGGTTAGTGTTGTACACTCAGGTTAGTGTTGTCACACTCCGTTAGTGTTATACACCCAGGTTATGGTGTTACCAGATGTGTACCAGTTAGGGGTAGAGTATGTCTAACCTCAGCGGTTAGTGTTGTCACATCCAGGTGTGTTACCACCTCCCGGTAGTGTAGCTACATCCAGGTATGTTAAACTAGGTTTGGTGTACCAACCTGTAGTACCAGTTTGTCTACACTCAGCAGTACCGCAGAAACAGGTTGTGTTGTCTCCCTCCAGTTAGTGTTCTACATTTCCTAGGTAGTGTTTCACACTCCAGGTTGTGTTGTCTACACTCCGGGTATGTAACCAGTTAGTGTTGTCTAAAACCTCAGGTAGGTACTGTTGTGTCTACACTCTGGTTAGTGTTTCTACACCAGGTTAGTGTTTCAGACCTCCAGGTTAGTGTTGTCTACAACTCCTGGGTCTAGTGTTTCTACACTAGGTTAGTGTTGCTAACTCAGGTAGTGTTGTCTACCTCCAGGTTAGTGTTGTTACACTCAGGTTAGTGTTGTCTACACTCAGGTATAGTGTCACTGGTTAGTTTACCAACCTGGTTAGTGATTAGTTACACTCAGGTAGGTTGTCAACCTCAGGTTAGGTTGTGTACGACTCCGTTAGTGTGTCTACCATTTCTAGGTTAGTGTGTCTACATCAGGTTAGTGTTGTCACACTCTGGTTAGTTTGTCTACATCGGGTTAGTGTTGCTACACCAGGTTTATGTTGTCTACACTCCGGGTTAGTGTTGTCTACACTCAGGTTAGAGTTGTCTACACCCGTTAGTTGTTAATCCAGGTTGTGTTGTTACACTAGGTTAGTGTTGTTACACTCCGGTAGTGTTGTCAACTCAGGTTAGTGTTGTTACACTCAGGATAGGTTGTCTACACTCCAGTTAGTGTTGTCTACACCTCCAGGTTAGTGTTGTCTACACCAGGTTAGTTTGTACATACCTAGGTTAGTGGTCTACACTCCTGGTTAGTGTTGTTACATCACAGGTTAGTGTTGTCTCCCACTCCAGGTTAGTGTTGTCTACACTAGGTTAGTGATGTCTACATCCGGGTTTAGTGTTGTCTACACTCCGGGTTAGTGTTGTCACACTCAGGTTAGTGTTGTCTACACTCCAGGTTAGTGTTGTCTACCCAGGTTATGTGTACCGGGTTAACTCCAGGTTAGTGTTAGTCTACACTCAGGGTTAGTGTTGTTACACTCCAGGTTAGTGTTTCACACTCCGGGTTTAGTGTTGCACATACCAGGTTAGTGGTGCTACACCAGCCTTAGTACCAGTATGTTCACTCAGGTTAGTGTTGCAACTCAGTAAGGTACGGTTTGTTACCAGACTGTAGTACCAGTACTAGGTTACAGACTGAGAAACAGGTACTGGTTGTACCAGTCCTTGTAGTACAGTACGGGAGTAGCAACCTGCAGTAACTGGTACTGGTTGTTCCAGACCTGTTAGTATTCAGTTAACTAGAGTAGCAGTACCTGCAGAACCCCAGGTATGGTGTACCAACTGTTAGTCAGTTACCTAGTAGTAGTCAGACCTGTAGAAACAGTAGTGGTGTTACCAGACCTGATACCAGTTACTAGGTAGCGACCTGCCAGTAAGGTAACTGGTGTTTTACCAGACCGGTAGTACCAGTTACTAGATTTAGCAGACCTCAGAAACAGGTATGGTGTACTCAGTACTGTTGTAACCAGTTACTGTTGTACAACTGGCAGACAACAGGTCATGGTGTACCAACCGTAGTACCAGTTATAGAGTAGCACCAGCGAAACCAGGTATGGTTGTACCAGACTGTAGTACCAGTGTTATGATTAGTCAGACTGCCAGAAACGTGTACTGGTGTACCAGACCGTTAGTTACCAGTTCACTAGTGTTGTCAGACACTCAGAACGGTTATGTGTACCACGACTTAGTTCAGTTACTACGATCACAGACGTGCAGAATACAGGTTGGTGTAACCAGACCTGTTGCTACACCAGTTACTGGTAGCAGACACTGCAGAACAGGTTGGTGTACCAGACCAGTTAGTACAGTTTACTCAGGTTAGCAGACTGCAGAATACAGGTTACTGTTGTTATCCAGATGTTGTACACCAGTTATAGAGTAGTTCAGACCTGCATAAACAGGTATGGTGTACCAGTTACTGTTAAGCTACCAGTTATGAGTAGCTGACCTGCAGAGGGAACAGGTACTGGTGTACTCAGTCTGTACTCCAGTTATAGAGTCTGACCTCAGTAAAGGTATTGGTGTACATAGACTGTCACTACCAGTTATAGAGTTACAGACCTGTCAGGATGTTAACAGGTATGGTGTCACCAGA